TTAACGGCGTTATGAGGCTGCTTTCATAAAGTCTAACAATCTTTTTTCCGACAGCGGGCGTCTCATTTTGGAAAGGTGTTCTTCGCCGCTGATGGGAACTCACGCAGTCTGCAGATGGGGCAGCAGTTGGCCTGGTAACGCAGAGTGTCTGCGCAGGCGTTGCAGAGACACAGGTGTCTGCACGGCAGGATGAGCGTGTCTCGCACATCCGACAAACACACTACACACTCGGCGCTGTTGTCACTGATCTCGTCGTCGGCAACCTGTAGATAAAAAAAACACATCAACGTTAGGAAGAAGGTCGCGGATTGATTTTACTACACCGACATGTCAAAGCTCTCAAAGGAAGAGCAAGCAGAGAAGCCTTTCTTGTCGTCTGATATTTACCTTTGATTCTTGGCTGTTGTATTTGTTCTCTATCCCATAGATCTCCTGCAGTAGATAACTCACTCCATCCACCTGGGGAAAAGGAACATTGTGAAGAATAAAGGCAGCAGGTCTCATGGGCCAGGCGTAATGTTCAAGAGAGAGAAATAAAAAAAGCTTTGGTGTATCGTTGTCTTTTCAAAAGCATTAAAAAAAAAGTGTTACACAAAAGGAGGAAGGAAGACAGAGAAGAAAAGGAGTATTCACCACTTGTTTCTGCTTCAGAGGCTTCACACAGTAGCTCCCGTCCATGTGCTGACAAAGAAAACAACAGTTGTATATTAATTTACTCGCATGAGCTGCAGTTCGCCTTGTTAGTACCCTGAATTCATACGCACAAATCCTTACATATTATATTATTTGACCAACACTCGACTGAACTGTAATGCTGCGTAGAGGACTTCTGACGTTGCTACATATTCGGGTTTGAGGTTAGAAAGCAGTTTTTGCCTCTGCTGCAGCATCCTTAAAGAAATGAGGGATTGGAATCCTTGCTAATGAGCACCCAGGAAAAAAAAAAGAGATGTTTTACTAGAAGAACATTTTTTGATCATTAATCACTCTCTTTAGTAACAGGTTAGAGTGGAACAGGAGTTTTCAGACAGGGGAGGGGCAGAGGGAGAGATGTGAGCCAAGGACACTGTGTGAGGTGAAGGGAACAGATGCATGCTGGTTAGTTATTGCAGCTTGTCCTGTTGATTTGGCCTGCTCACCGACACAGCCAGCTGTTACAGCTGCATTACGGGCCGTGACACACGTGGAGTCAAATAAGGAGAAACATAATAAACCTGTTTCTACATTCAAAGTGACTAACACTGTCCACGGATATCATCAGATCTGATGTTCATTGTGAATAAATGTCTGTAAATCTGCTCAGAAATCATAGAAAGAAGACACTCCTTATAAATGCAGAACTTCCCTGAGAATTATCACTTTTTTAAATTTTCTTCAGTATTAAATTAATCTAATGATAGCTGTTTCTACATCCACAGTTACATTTCAAATAGCAACTGTTAATAGATAATTCTGCATACTTTTAATGATAATTTGTCAAACGTAATATTTTGATATGAGATTAGATATTCTCTGGGATTTTGGTTTTTTGTAATATCATCATTATATATCTTACATTTTGTCTTTTCGTATTCCAAAAGACTAAAATGTAAACATTAGAATAAAAACACATTTTTAAGAAGCTGATACCAGCAAATGTTTGCCTTTTTATCTGGAACATTTGCTCAAACAATTAATCAATTATCAAAATACTTACCAAGATGTTCTGTCTATAAATTAATTATTTCATCTCTATCTGAAAGCCTTGCTAATGTCTGTATCAACAAAAATAACAACAAACATCCTGCAAACATATTGTGTCTGCAACAATCTCTCACTGGCTCTGACTCTGATAAAGAACCTCTTTCCTACCTTTTCAAATGTAGCCAGCAGTATGTGAGAGTGGCCCATATGTTCTGCAAAAAGAAAAGACAGCAGACACGTCTCGGCTTTAAATTCTGCAGCTCTACTTTCACATCAGACCATCAGTGTGATAAACACATAGTCACTCACCTTCCCCCTCGTCTACAACAGCCTGCACCACCATGGGGAAAATCTCTTTGTCCACATCAAACAGCAGCTGAGGGGAAAACAATGAAGTGAGGAGAGAAACCGTGTCTATGTGTATGAATTGGTTTCACAGCACAGCCTCACGCAGGCCCCGTCACCTGCCTACCTCCTCGTCAGCCCACTCGCTGAGGTTGACGGTGTGTGAGGGCAGACAGAACTGCTGGCACACTCCCCTCTTGAAGTGAACCGTCTCAGACTGCAGAGAGCTGTCCTGGGGCAGGTAACTGCAGGAAACACACAGCTTGTCTATAATATGCACACAACGGCACAAAATACATGATGGGGGTGTTTATAGATCAGTCAGCTTATCGGCATCAGGAAGGGAACACTTAAACCTGCTGCAGTTTGACAAATAGATGCATACATGTGCATTTAAATGTTTTTAACCCATACTAATCTATTTCTGTTTAAATGCAGTCGTTACTAGTGTTGAATACATTTTCTGTGCAGTAAACCAGAGAGGCAGAATCTTATTTAAAGATGTTTTATTCTATGTGAAGTGGAGGAGAGGCAACGTCTGCCAGAGCGAGTTTCACAGACAGCTCTTTATAAAAAAAGATATGCAAATACTGACATGTCAGCAAGACGTATATAATATATTCAAGACCATGTTGGAATAACTTATGAGTGTCTGCATGAATATTTATGACATGTTTTTCTCTTTGATCCCAGCCTGTATTTCATCTATTTTTTAAATGAGGACTAAAGGTAGAAGAGGTCTTTATATATTTACGAGGGATGCAATGATCGGATCTTTTCTCTAATGGTACACAAATGTAAAATATGATACCACACTGCGTAGAACTCATTGTGATCATTTTTATATAAAAAGGAACTTGAGGCCAGAGATTTCTATGGCACTAAAAACTGAGTCTGCATGACTTAATTTTATGCATTTCATAAAACAGAATCTTATGACATTTTAATGTGTATATAATGTGAATCAGTTATGTCTGGCCGATTGGATTTCACGATGGACAGTTTGTTAAAAATAAGTATAAAATCGATGCAGCAGAACCTGAGATATCGTCTTTTTCATCCACATATTATTCTTCCTTATCAAAGCGCTTACATTACCCACAGTGCAACTCATTGTAGTACTAGTAAAAGTAGTCTTGCAGGACTCCCCAAGACCTGTAAACAGTCTTTTATGTGGAGTTCCCTCCCCGATTGATCGGCGTATCCCATGTTGTCTCTTTAGGAGACAGTGTGACAGCGAGTGTCTAACAGGGAGAAAATATTACGGCAAAATAAACATTTTAAACCTTTGAGTTGAAGTAATTTGTGTTCATCAAGCGATTGCAGACAGTTTGGCAAAAAATCAACACACGCTGTAATAATGTTGTGATTTTAAAGACACAACCTTCACAGAGGTATGTATTAATCAGTGAACAGATACCGACTGAAGTGATTGATTACTGGATTTCCACTTACACTGGCACTCCGTTATGAAACTCCTCCATGGCCTGGTAGTAGATGGTTATGGCCACCTGTGTGTCAGCGTCGAAGGTGAACTCGATGTTGTAGCAGGCCCTGTTCTTCCCCGCCGCCTCGTCACCTGGCAGCTTCAGGTCCTCGCTGCACCTACGGGTGAGCAGAGGTGGGAAGTGGGCGGAAGAGGAAACAAGGACGAGGGAAAACGTTTATCAAGTAAAGAACACAAATCCAACCATGAAACAAACTAATGCATATGGGAATTTCTTGAGATCTTTAAATTATTTTTAATGTTTGATATAGAATGATTTTTGTGTTTTCAGGGATAAGAGACATTTTGTGCTTTTGTTTTTGTCTTTCTAACTAGATGTTATATTGTTACGCTTAATTGTATGTCTGAAGAAAATTTAAGTATGAATTACAAGAAAAAACATCCATGATTTGACACTATCCCTTAAATTAGCTGTTGTGGGTTGCTCCCTAAAAATAACTTGGTGGGGATAAAATTAGACAGCAGTGGTGTAATGAGGGGTTTCGTATATGTTTAGGTGGACAGAGGTGCGTACCGTACGAGCCGCAGCGTGTCCTTACGAATGTTTATAAGGCTTCGTAACGTCTTTACTGGTTCCTGAGGTGGAGGGGCTGCGTACGGGAACTGAAAACAAAAAGAAAACAAATTATGGATGTAAAATACATGTTATGAGACTGAAGAGTAGTGGCATTCATCTTCCCTCAACCGCCCCGACATTCCTCTCTTTACCACAGAGAATTCAGGGTTACACAAGGTTTAACCTTAACACAAAAAGTGTTTCGGTTGGTCAGCAACAACGAGATCCGTGCTGACAAGTGCTGATCCAGAGGAAAAAAAATCTGCTCAGATTGTGTCTTTCAAGGGACAAAGTTGACACTTCAGACAGCGTTTGGCACATTTCTGCACACACAGGGACCGCAAGAGTGTAAAATAGTTCAGGGTCAAACAGTGTCTGTCTTTCAAGCTGGTTTAAAAAGGACCAGATGGGTGAAGTTTACAACATCGGGAGAATTTTAACAACATCAAGTCACAGATAAGGATGTGAAATACCTTCTGTGATTGGCTGTTTTCTCTCGTGACCAACCCCACCTATAGCGATAAAAACCCTGGTGTAAAAATCGACATATAACCTATAAACTTGACCCGCTTCTCAGTTTGTTGAAGGCAGAAGTTGCTGACTGAGCGTAAAAGGAGATCCGAGGTGGTTTGAGGATCACTGGAGGAGAAACATGCAGGATGTGGTCAGATACCTCCACACTACAACCCCTCATCTGTGTGTAAAGTGTGTTTGTGTGGCTGTGAATGTGGCACCGCATTCAGCGCTGTTACACACATCTGGGCTCGGCAGGAGTCACGCCTGTAAAACTACACAAACAAACACACACGGAGTAACAGATGCTGAAGAGAACCATTCATAAGGAAACTCACAGGCCACACTGTAGGTCTTATAACGTATTCAAAATATCACGACTAAATTAAAAAAAGGTTCGAGGGTTTCAGGATCCAGGTGAGTGAAAGTAAAAAGAAACAGGAACAGAACTTTGTTCACAGCAGTCATTCTGACATGTAAAAGTAGGGCAAACACAGGCGTTACCAATGATAGTAAATACGGTTCTGTTGCATTCAGGTCAAACAGCGTCAGGGTGCTGCTATTGTGCATGCACTGGAAGGCTCTGCTGCACTAAATGGAACAGAGCCTTAGTTGGTATCATTGTGTTTACCTCAAAATGGCTGCAGTGAAAAAGGTTTATAGGATTTTACAGCCTTGCTCGCAGCTTAATGCCAACCACAGCGTGCTTACAAACTCACAGTGTCACTGCTAACATGCCGATGATAAGCAGGTATAATGTTTATTACGTGTTCACTATCTTAGTTCGTATGATCCATTTGATAATTATAACTGCAGACTTTATATTTGATTCTTTGTTTTATTTATCTGTCACTTTTCTTGGCTCAAGACTTTTGTATTAATATTGTTTTTGTCAGGTAAAAAAAAAATAGGTAAATATTCGTCCTTATAGTGTGTTATGTTTGAAAAGAATACTACCTTAATTAATACCGTATTACCTGATTTTAGTGAATTATGTTTGCCTAAATCCTGCCTTCAAACATATACATAAAATACAAAAATTAAACATCTTCTTAATGTTTAAATGCTACGGTATGTGAATAACAGCTTTGTGAAAGACTGAAGATATAACTTATATTTATCTGGTAATAATTTCAATCTTTGTGTGGCTTTGGTGTTTTGTTTCACTTACGTCTGATTTTTTACACAGAAGTTACAGTTTGGGAAAAAAAAAAAAGAGTTAAATAAACAGATATTGCAATATTAATATGATTCATGATCAGTGGGAATCCTCATTTTTGCATCACAATTTTCATTTTCACTGAAAATAATATTAAAACGATGATGAGGAAAAAAAAATGTTTCCTCACATCTGGAGATTTGTAGACCAGGACACCTCTGCAGCACATTTTACCTTCATAAAACAATCTTCTTTTAAACCCTGATGTCTCACAGACGACACAGTGAAGCCCACAGTTTGCTCTTTTCCTTAATTAGCACTTAGACACAAAGGACAGCTGATAAAAAGTGAAGCAGTCACCAAAGATATTAAAATTCATCCTGAGAGGAGCATAAATGTCTGTACCAAAACCCATCCCATATTTAATTAGAACTCAAAAATGTCAACCTCATGTGGGCACGATGGGTAAACTCAGAGGATGATGAGAGGCTTCACCCTCTGGGAACCATGAATGTCTGTAGAAACAATCCATCCACTAGTTGTTGAGACATTAAGTGGTTGAACTGCTGACTGGCAAGCCTAAAAAAAATCCATTTTGTACATCCATGTGCTTACGGGAGATTCTGAAAACCCCTAAATACAGCCCTGTCCATTATCATATCTGTAGCGCGGTGGCAGGAGACCGAGAACACAACAACTGCGGTTGGTTTTATGAATCCACGGCACCATCTGCTTAGAAACCACCAAACATTATATAATGCTGGTAAAGCTTCAGTCACACATACGAGAAGAAGAAAAAAAAACACACACCAGATGAATTCTGTGCCCACAGGAGGATTATAAACACCCACATAATCGGGAGAAAAACTGCACTCCTAATTTTAGCCCCAGTCTAGACAGAAACAGCCGTGCGACTGAGATTAGTACATAGAGGGACGGAGCAGAGTCTTTCCATATCAGCTTCACTTCTGCCAAATACTTTAACTCCCTCCGAGCCTTTTCGGTCTGTATCAAATTCTCCCTTTCCTCTGCGGACTCGAGCTCTTTTTGATCCGCAGCTCTCATTAGTTTGACCTTCAGGTTCGCGATTAGGTTGAGCGAAACCCTCCGGAGGATAACCGTCGCTCATCGCGGGGCCTCTCTGTACGCGGAGCCAGCCGACTGTCATTTTCACTTTTAATTAGTTTGACAGGATGAGACGTTGAAATAAATTGCAATCAGTCGCGGTGTGAAAGCCCGTTAATTTGCCACTGCAGGAGTCGGGGCTGCTGTTTAATGACGAAGAGAAAGATACACCTTTTGATGCTGAGACGGAGCGAACTGACTAATCAATCGATCAACATAAAATTGTTTTGACAATCAAGTCAAAGCAAAATGCTGTTTTTTTTTTCTTCTCCAGTGTGAGGATTTGTTGTTGCTGTTTAATAAAACAAGCAATTTTGGGCATTTTTGACATTTTATAGATCAAATTCAACAAACAAACATCAATTAAACAAAAAAAAAAATTAATAGACAAACTGAGAATGAAAATACTTGTTAGTTTCAGGCCAAAACCCCTTTCTTTATTTGTATACATATTAAATATTTTTATAATCTTCATACAACTTGAGGCCGACAGCTGACAAAAAAAATCTCACCTTTACCACCAACACGGCCACAAATCATCATTACCAATCCCTTTGACAACTGAGGAAGATCATGTGATGCGACTGAAAGGAACAACAGACATTTAATTCAGTGAGTGAGAACACGTACCGCCACAGGTCTGGTCCCCAGGAAGTTAAGGTCTGTGTTTTCCCCAAACAGGTAACCCTCCGGATGGGTGGAGTCAAACTTCTCTCCCCCCATGATGAAATGGCTGGCGAAGTAACTCCCTGCAGAGAGAACAAATCGCTTTATTTAAAAGGTTATTTAAGTTAAATATTCTTCAACATGTTCAATAATTTTAGATATAGACACTACAACCAAAATTAAAAGAGAAATAAGCTTTAAAAGTGAAGCCATTTTGCATTATAAACACCATTTTGTGGGCATATTGGATGAGAAATACAGAAATAAGTTGATCTCATCCGCTTTAAAAATTTATTTTCTTCCCTAAAACAAGTTTTAAAAGTTCAGCTATTAGAAATGAATGTGAAAGTATCTAGTAAATATTTAAACAAGTTGATTTTTATCAGCCTTTAAAAACACCTGGAAAAAATTTGTATTATTTATTTATTATTATTAGGCTTAATTATTATGGGGAAGTTAAATAAATGAGAGCTGTTGTACTTATATTACCCTTTTTTCACGTGTTATAAGATTTTAGGACCCAATAACAGACAAAAATAGACTTCACTGGCATAAAAAATTAACATTTCCCTTAAATATTTCAACCATTTTACCGCAACCTTTACCTCAAACAGCTTAAAGCAACAACCAGTGAGTTTTACTGGGATTTATCCTCAAAATATTGATTAAAACCGGCAAAACGAAGGACATTGTGGCTGAAACTGGGTTGTTATTGGCCGGCGGCTCGTCCACCTGTTTACCGAGACTTTGGGTTTGATGACAACAAGACTAAATAGCCGTTCTGCCTTTTAATCACAGGGTGAGCTGATATCATAAGACTGTAATGTGGTGGTTCGGAGTCTTTAAATACACGCTGGACGGGCAAGTCATGTAGCAGCTGGTCTTATTTCACACTCATTAACGCTGGAGAGGAGAGGAAGGGCTCGGACGCTCTGACCTTAAAAGCCTTTCACGCCGTAGAAAAATCCATAACACGAGTTTTTAAAAAAAGCCACAATGACGACGCTCTCCTTCTCTCTCTCTCTCTCTCTCTCTTCATCACCTTATTATTATTTACAGCAGGTGGGAGAGGAGAGCTGGGCCGAGGCTTTGTCACCAGATCCCAGGAACAGGAACTACGGCTGACGGATCGGTTTCACCAGCCGCCGTCGCCACCACCTTCCTCTCTCACCGCCGCCGCCACAACCTCCTCTTCAGGCTGCAAACAGGACTGTGAAAGATAATTCAGCTAAACTGTTGTGAGAGGCAACAGTTTCTCTCTCTTGAGTACATAATACCCCTATAAATACAAGATATATATAATAAAACTCTACCTATGTTCCCAGATTCTGCTCCTGGTGTCGTTTTGTGAAGGGATTTTTAATTTACTTTGTGTGTTTTGCTTACAGTAGAAGTGAAAAGCAATTACATTATTTCTCCACAATGCGATAATATTGGATTAGTGCTAAACCCCCCCACTGGTGGGAAAAGCTAAACACAGCAAATCAGAAAACGTCACGCAGGAACAATAACAGGACAGATTCAAAGCAAAGAGTCGGTTTGTGGCTCGAAAGTATCAACAGGAACCTTTAAAACATTTAGTAAAACCTCTGAAATGCATCTGTGTTTTATGTTGTCTTAAAGTGGTGCAAGAATGCTGCCTTAATAACACACAACAGCAGAATTTATAGTGAGGAAATCACCGATCAAAGGTTGAGTAAACAGGAGGAAGAGCCTGACCGAGCGCTGCGTGCTGAGCGGAGCTAAACAGAACATTTTAAAGTAAAAATGACTCAAATTCAGAGGTTTCAGCTTCAGTTTTGACTCCAAATGTTACTTTTTTGCTGTTTTTTTTAATAATCTCCTCTGATCATAAACAGAACATCTTTCACTTTTGGACTGTTGGGCAGATAAACAAACATTATAGGCGACATTTCTCACTATTTTCTCATGTTTTATTGACTAAAAGATAGAAAATAAGATCATTAGTTGTAGAAATATTAATAATACCCTGAGAAAGGAAACGAATCAACAGGTAAATAAGCATTGATTTAAAGACAATGAATCATTTAGTTGAATCATTTAATTAATTTATGTAGCAAAAACGCCAAATATCCTCTAATTCCAGCTTTTAAAATGTGGAGGTTTTCTGCTTTTTCTCTGTTTTATATCATTATAAATTTAATATATTTGGCTTTTGGACTGTTGCTCAGACAAAATAAGCTATTTTAAGTTATCAACCTCAACTCTGGGGAAACTGTGAATGGCATTTGTCACTATTTTGACATTTTAGCTCAAGAATTTAAAGGCTAATAAACCACAACCAGCCCCTATTTTATATATTTAAATAATGTGCACTGAATAAATGAACTAAATGTACTGCTGATGGTGATGTTGGTCGTTTTATTTGCACCCTCTTGGGCTCCATCATGACAAGACAAATGTCCCTACACACAGCTGCTCATAAGATGCACCAACAAAATAATAAATAAATTAAAATATAAAAAGGTTTAACTTAAATATATGGATGATGAGGAGAGGAGGGAGGGTTCACAATGCAGACACAAGCCTCTGTGTTGCTGTTAGTGTCTCTGCAGCGGCCACAAATAACATTATAATATAAAATATAAAATGTGGTAAATTAATAATAAAGAAATATATTAAATTAAGTTAAATCTCCACAGGTAGCTTCCCCTCCTCCACCACCAGGTTAAAGCCTGCAGGCCTGTCAGCTACAAGGTATGAAGGTGTTGTAATGGTCTCCCCCTCCTCTTCCTCGCTCGCCATAAAGCTACAGAATAAAAACCATCATTGCAGTAAAGCTCTCCTCTCAAAGTCCGACCTGTTGTTCGGCGACTTACCGGATTTCGGTGGATAACGGTACACCGAATTGGACGGGATGTCCACTTCTTCCACGCCTATGTTCTGCCTGCTCGTTAAAGCTCCCATTTCCAGTCAAGTGAAGACCACACGGGGTTTAACGGGCATAACACTGCTCAGGTTTTCCGCTTCTGTTCGCCTCCCGTTACTCCCGATCATTTAATCCAGTTCGTGCAGCCCTGTCCATTTTCTGTCGGGTTGCAAAAAAAAGCCCCGCCGTGAATGTGACCGTGCTCGGGGGTAGGTTAGGGTAGGTTAGGTTAGGGGGGGGGGGATTAGTAGTTGTTCTCTGGCTGCTTATCCCTTTTGCTCTGCTCCGAGTGCAGCTGGGGGGTGTTTTGAGGCAGAAAGCAGCCGCTGAGGTCCCTTTAATAACGGATAAGCGCTCTCATAGTTCGCCGCAGTCGAGCTAAGCGAACACCCCCCCTCCTCTCTTCTCTCTCTCTCTTTTCTCTCTCTCCTCCCAACGACTGGCTTCACTTTGCAGGCGACGAGGCAAACTACTACTACCGGCCCCGGTGGATGTTGAGCATTTTATCCCACCGTCTCTCTCTCTCTCTCTCTCTCTGTCTCCCTCTCTCTCTCCCCGCCGGTGCTCGTCGGTGCTGGATCCTGTCAAAGAGGACGGTGGCTCCACATGACGTCAGTCGGGCATAAATCCGGGGCCGTGTTTGGGAGTGTTTTTATTATTTTATTTATTTATTTTATTTTGCGCAGTCCTCCTACTGCCGCTTTGTAACGTGACCTTCCTACGCCAAATGTGCGAGCAGCGCTGACCGTAAAGAGAGAGAGAGAGAGAGAGAGACGCTGCATCGGAGCGTACGTTGACGTCGCCGCCATATTGGAGCGGGCGGTTGGCCTGTAAAACCAATACGAGTAAACCGTATTGCAGATTAAAAAAGCACCATAACGTTAAAATGTTTAACATTTCTCAACTGATTTCACTCACTCATTTATATATGCGTGTTATATTTTGTTTTTTTTTACTCCTAATCTCTTTGGTTATATAAGTTACAGGCCCTAATAACGGCCGAGACGTTCAAGGGATGACTGTACGTAGGCTTACATGAATTGCTTACGTGTTGGGAAATAAATAATTGTTATAGTATTTATAGTAAGCATGTTAGTGTTGAGAAATGTAAACGTTATAGTGTTTACCGCCGCTCTCTGGTTTACTTGTATTTGTTTACGAGCCAGTTTTGCCCGGTCCAATGTGGCGGCGACGTTGACGTATCCCAGCAACAGGCCGAAGCGACCAATGCGGCCGCCATATTGGGAAGGTCGAGATTCGCTACTGTACAATACTGAGAGATTCAGACTTCACCACGAAATCGACTGTAACTCGTTTAAATCTGAACCTATTATCATGAAATGTTGTTTGTTATTGACACATTTTACATTTCACTAAATAAGCAACCAGGAAGCTTTATAACAATACAATTGATATAGATAGCTGCATTTGTAAAGAAATGTAAACAATGTATGCAATAATAGATAAGAGCTTGCGTGTCCTAGTGGAAAGTTTAGGCTATTCAGAAGGTGATTTTATTAACTGAATTAATTAACAAGTAGTCAGTATCAGGTTCTTTCTTAATAACAAACCAAGTTTTATTAAATTTGGTTTAGAGTTACAGTTTAACTGCGTCTCTGTATTATTAACTCGCGGATTTTGACCTCTGCAATATGGCGACCGCTCTGTTTCTACATGTATGGCGCTGACTGCAGTGCAGAGAGGACGGCGCCCCGTGGAGGACACACCGAGCCTGAACCGACATTTACCCTCCGGACATGAGTGCAGATGACAGTAAAAAGATATATATTCCCGCAATAATCAGAGTGATAGAAATCACAACGACAAAAGCAGAATAACGGTCCATTATCGCCGTTACTAAGCGACCCCGCGTCGCCAGAGGGCGGTGTAACGGTCGGTGTAACGGTCGGTGAACAGCCGGGCAGCCAATCAGAGGAGGCCAACATGGGCGCACAGAGGAGGGGGGAGGAGGAAGCTTTATTGCCGCCATTTCACGTGAAAGCAGCGCGGTAGGAACGACGTTCCGGGATAAACAATTACAAACAAAATCCGCCCGAGTTTGAGTTTAATACCCCAGCTGGAGATTTATTAACCAACGGTAGCCGTTTCAGTTAACGGAAAGGCCGAGCGGTGTTCGTTTTTAACCCGGGCGGCTCTGTTGCTTAGAGACGGTAGAAAATGAGCTACGGAAGGCCGCCGCCAGACGTGGAGGGGATGACCTCCCTCAAAGTGGATAACCTGACTTACCGAACTTCGCCGGAGACTCTGCGCCGGGTTTTCGAGAAGTACGGCCGTGTGGGCGACGTGTACATCCCCCGGGACCGGTACACCAAGGAGAGCCGCGGGTTCGCCTTCGTGCGGTTCCTCGACAAGCGGGACGCCGAGGACGCCATGGACGCGATGGACGGCGCGCTGCTCGACGGGCGGGAGCTCCGGGTGCAGATGGCCCGCTACGGACGACCTCCCGACTCCATGTACAGCCGGAGAGGGGCTCCGCAACGCAGATACGGAGGGTACGGACGGAGGAGCAGGAGGTAGCTTAACGTTAGAGTTAATGCTGCTGTTCATTACTCTCATACTCATAGTTTGGCTAAAGAATTGGCGCACGGTGTAGATAACGGTGAGAAAACGAAAGTAACTTTAGTTATTTTCGTTTCGTTTGTTATCTAAACAGCATGAGGCTGCACAGTTTGTCCAGATATTATCGAAAACACCGTATGGACATGTGTAATATGCGAATTGCAGAAGCTTTAATGATTAGTAAGGTAAAACGTGTGATCAAACAGCATTAAAATACAAATTTATTTAAGAAAACACGTTTTACATCCTAATTTTAGTAGTTTAAATTAAATTTGGGATGCAAAATGTATCATTCCCACTTAATCCTGACTCTCAGTATCTGTCAAAATACTCCTATCATTCAGCCTTAATGTAGCATTATCATTTCACTTTCAGTTTAAAGGTCTTAATCTAGTATTTATATAAAACTGCACCTTGTTTTGCAAAGGATTCTGTGAAGCGTTGCAGCAGTTGTTTTTATTATATAGATTATTTTCAGACAGTTCAATAGGCAGAGTTCTCACATGTCCTGGAAACTTAGAGATAGTTTTCCCGTAATGGAAACAGTTGGAATATTGATTCAAACGATCAAATATCCTGGAAATAATCTGTATTGTCCTGGAACATATTGTTGTATTTTAGCCCCCCGACTCACTCAGCTCTCTTCCTCCTACATGCACACAGCAATGTTAATCGTATTCATAATTAATCTAATAGAAAGTGAAAGTGTGAAATAAACAAACACTTTCACTTTCTGGAAGATTAATTTTCTGTAAAATAAACTTAATTTGAGCCGTTGTCTGAAGGTTGTGGAGTTAAATGTGTGAAAACTTAAAGTTATTGAATCATGATGTGAAACTTTAATTATAATTGTTTCCTCACACATTTGACACTTTTATCAAAACATTGCAGCTTCTGTGATTTGCATATTGTGATTTTAATAATATTTGGAGTAATTGTGCAGCCCGACGCGTTCACTAAGACAAATGTGTCGTTTTATTTGTCAGTTTTTATCTTATTTTACATTTATTTGGCTGTTTGTACTGAAGTGCTTCTCTCCGTAACCGCAGTCGTTCAGCCAGTCCTCGACGCCGCAGACGCAGCCGCAGCCGCTCCAAGAGCAGAAGCCGTTCCCGATCCAGGAGCCGCCACCACTACAGCCGCTCCAGGTCCCGCTCCTACTCCAGATCCAGGTCCAGATCCAGGTCCAGGTCCAAGTCCAAGTCCAAGTCCAGAACCCCCAGGCGGAGCAAGTCGAAGTCTCCCTCCAGGTCTAGATCCCGGTCCAGGTCCAAGTCGAGGAGTCGAACCCCGCCTTCCAACAGGGGGTCCAAATCCAGGTCCAGGTCCAAATCCAAGAGTAGGCCCAAATCTCCAGAGGACAACGGAGCAGAGTGTTAACCCAAACTAGGACACAATATGACGGTATTCAGGGGAAAGGGTGGATTATATTACATTTAAAATATTATATCTGAGGTGGCTTTCTGTCGTCACGGTCGGGATTCTGCAGCCTTGATGCTCCATCAGCCGTTTGCACGCGAGCAACAAAGTCTGCAAAATCCGAACTGTGTTTTTAGAGTTTAAAATCAGATCGGGACTGATGTCGTTCACAGTCCTTCGTTCTGTGTGTGCTTTACTTTGCTCGTATCGCTCAGCCGATCTAAAGCACACACAGGCAAACGGCACATGTGACCTAATGTATCATATATTTATACATTTATATATTTAAAAAGTGGGTATTAATCACATTTGTACTCGTGTGAGTGTGCATGGGAGGGACGTGGGCTGCTTCACTCAAAACGTTCACCTAAATGTGGAATTCTTTCCTCCAAGCTGCGGAGTCCTGTTTGCAAAGGGAGGAGGAGGAGGAGGAGAGGGAGGAGATGGGGGGTGGCAGTGTTGAGAGCAGTTAGTGTGTCGCACCCCGCCCGGGACCTGTGACCTGCCTCGTTGCTGAAGCGCATGGCAGTTGCTAAGGAGCAGGTCACCGGAGGGCAGCGTGTTGCTATGGAGCCAGGGGTCAGGTCAATGGCGGGTGGTTCTTGGTCTGCATGTGTGTTGTGAGTGGGGTGTGTTTGTTCGTGTTCGAGGTACGTTCACGGGCAGGTGCCTGGGTTGTCCCATGCCTGTGGTCTCCGGTCCGCCTCTCACAGTGAGTAGCCGACCCCGAGTTGTCAAAAATTGCCCGTGGTTGGTTGGGGGTGGTGTCTTTTTTTTCTGTGTAAGAGTCGTAGTTTAGAGCCAGGAAAGGAAAGTGTGTGTAACAAAGTTGGAAGTTTAGTAGGAAATGTCAGTGTAAAAGGTGTAAGATGAATGTAGGTCGGCAGGGGAGAAGTCAGATCAGGCTCGGTGGTAAATGTTCATTTGTTTTTGTTTTTGTAACTCGTTTCTCTTTTCCTTCCGATCTCAGATGATTGGAGTCTTTTGCTGGAGCGACATCAGGAATTGAGTCTCAACGTTGAGCAAGTGGACTCCACTATTACCACCCTGAATGCCAGGACTGAAAGTTACTGGAGCTTGTCTAAGAAGATGTTTTAAAATGTGTTTTCATTGTGACCTTTGAATTTTGCCGTAAAA